TATTTTATTTTATTTTATTTTTTATTTAGAAAAAATACTCCAAAAAGTAGGTGAATCAATTGTTCTTTCAGAAGAAATCAAATAGTTGTGCTGTGGTTGCTCATTAGAAGCTACAACACTGTCTTCATTTTGCATACAAATGGAAGTCTCAAATGTTCTACAGAGCTAAATGAAGTCAACATTTATGTAGGACCAGAAAAAAAGATATTTTTTTCATCAGAAGGGCAGGGGGTGTTCCAAATAGGGAGTGTTTGAGAAACCATCTGCTTAGCTTAACTTTATTATTGTTAACTCCACTTGTCTCAGATTTCTGTGGGTCAAGATGTGAAAAGTAGCCAAATAAATTCAGGTGGTCATGGTATGATTTACTGAGTTTCAGGCATAGATCTGTGTCTTTGTATTTACCTTTTCTTTCTCCAGTGGCCTTAAAGATATTGCATCTGAGTTTAATTTTTCTTGACTTGTATATGGTGTATTATTTTAGGGAAGTCTTAACAACTCTATGTAGAAATGTCAGCCTCTAAAGTGTAGGCATCACTAATATCTTTGTTATATACTATGGAAAAAAACTGAGGTTCTTTAATTTAAACCACTGTAGGTCTGAGTGAGAGTGGTTTTGTATCTAAGCGTCTTGCTACTTCTGAAGGCAACAGTGTAACTCCAAAAAAGGCCAAGCCTAATGAGCTTGGTGCTGGAAGCAATTCAGATGATTCTTCTACAGTTAACTCTCCAACAGTAACACCATCACAAAATGTATCTTCAAAAGGTAGGGTAGATGAAATGGTCTAGCTGTCAATCCATGCATCTGTTTCATGGAGAAAGCTGGCACTCTTTTAATGTTTCAGTTGATGGGTATTAGTAATGGTATTAAAGCAATGTAAATAAGTAACTTGGTTCTTGTGCCTTAAAGAACTTTTCTATACAAGGCTTTACATACCTTTGCAAATTCATGGACCCTAAGCTATTACCTATTCAAATTTATAGACATTTAGTAAGTATGTTTGAGTTCTGTAAAGCAATGATTAGTTAAGTACTTTGGTGGCTGTGAATACAGATGATCAAAATAAATGCCACTGACCTCATACTCTTAGTTCAGATTTTCTACATCAAAGAACTGAATGGAGAGTTGAAACTATAAAAAAAAAACAACAAACCAGAAAATCAAGATTGAAAGAATTTTGTGACTGCTGAATTTATCAGCTAATTCTGATTAGATAAAAGGAGTCTCCATCCTTGGAGATATTCAGAGGTTGACTGGACATGGCTCTTAGGCATCCTGATAAGGTTAAGCCTTAGATAAGTTAGTGGAAAGTCGAACGAAAACACCATAGGTCCTAACCTAAGTTATTCTGTGATTCTGTACTTTGACTAAGTATGGCAAAGTGTGTTTTGCAGTTCCCTCCTTTCTTTTGTAGCAGTGTTTTTGATACAGTTTATCATAGTAGTAGGGAGGGAGGAAAAGAATTTTAACATTCAAAGAGAGGATGTTCCTTGAAAGACCTTTCCCTCCCTCCAAGAGAAATAGTCTAGCTGTTCCAGCATATTAATGAGGTACATTTTCCTTCTGAGCCAACAGGTGCTTTCTAGCTGATTGTAGTAGGTGAGGATGTATTCTTGACTTTCAAACACCTGCTCTCTCCTATAAGGTTAAAATGAGGAGCTACCTACAGTGTGATTCTGTTTAGATTAATTTCATATTTGTTTGGGGTTTTTTTTGCGTGTCTTGTTTGCAGCTAGTTTGCTGTCACACTCTTCCCCAGCAACCAGAAGGAAGTGGCTATAATGCGGAATATTGCAGCCAAAATTTTCCTCCACCCTTTGTTGGGTAGAACAGATATTATACTGAAGCCTGTGATATACAAAAGATAACTCTAGGATCTTACTAGGTGCAATAACAGAAGTAGATCATATTCACTGAGAACCTTATTTTTGTTTACCTCTAAACCGTCATATGGTAGTGTAGCGGTTTCTGATCTGCCACAGAATCCAGCACTGAAGCACCACAGAACACAAGATGTTGCTGCAGAATCTGTTTTCTTCCAATTCCGCTGATATTTAGCTGTGATGTGTCAGTATGTTTTACAGACTGCAATAGTGAAGACCTGCAGCACTGTTGTGCAGTACATTCTTGCATGGCCATCCGCTCATGTGAAGGACTTTCTGCTTAGTTACAAATCTTAGCATTACTGTTATCATCAAGGAGAAATACTGTTTGATGCTTGTGGACCTTGTGGGTTATGCAAGACTGGTTTTATGAAAAAATGTGTAATGCTGTTCCATGGTCATCTCTGAACTCATGCACTTACTTTTTCCCTTGTTATAAGGTGAATGTATTTGTGTGTTACATTTTTTCGTAGTCCTATCAGGGTATGGTTGACTCTACAGTTAAGGTGTTACTTAAAAGTCTTCCTGTGTTTAACTACTTCTAAACTACTCAGCATGGAGTCCTCCAGATCTGTGAATGACTTGAGAATGCAAGAGAACTTAGTCTCAAAAAGTAGCTCTTATTCTGATGTTTTCTGGCAGTTTGGAGAAAACTGGAAGCCTGGGGTTTTTTGTTAAAGTTTAAGCTAATGCAAAGCATTTTTGGTTCTGTTTTTGTTCAAAAGGTATTAGTAATTTTGTGTTGTTAAGAGAAATACTATTTCCTTTCATTACTAGGAGTAATGATTTAGAGGATTTATTCTCTAGGTTTTCCAAAGACACCTTTGCTCAACAGGTATGATGCATCTGAATAGGCCTAGGTTCCAACATTCAGAGAAAAATAATCTCCTTGTTGAGAACCAGATGATGAAATTAATTCCCAAAACCAGTTACCAGAACCTTATTGTGATGATAATCAGGTCATGGCAAAAAACAAGTTTTGCATGATTATTTGAGTATGGAAGCTATTAAAAATGTAAAAAATTGATCATGGCAAGGGGTGGGGGTGCACAGAATTAACACCTTGTGTTTATCATGCTACCTTCACCCCATCTTATTTTGTCCTTATTTGTTGCTAAGCTTTTGTAGAAGATGCTTATAGGTCTGTGTCAAACAGAATAGACTCAAATTCAGTTTGGAAAAAAGGAAGGGTAGTTAAAAGATAGTTGTAAAACCTTGCTTATGGTTACTACAGCTACATTGGTTGTAATTTCATTTGAAACAGCATTTTTTGCTATAATAATAAATAATGTAAATTGAGTATTTTGCTTGTAAATTCTGAATTTTAACCTATTTAAAATTTTACAGATCTAAATGCCGAATCAAGTACAATTAAAAATGGAGGACCTTTTCCACGAGCTTGTCCGAAGTGCAATATTCACTTCAATCTTATGGATCCACTAAAAAATCATATGAAGGTAGAATATTTTGAGACTGGTAAAAATGATAACAAACTTACATGGGCTTCTGTTTGTTTATGAGAGTGCTGTGTTTTGATATGAAGATAGTTTGGCTTTTGTGTGTCATCAAACAGAGCCCAAATGCTCCGTGTCTGAAGTCATGGAGAGGAAAAATGGAGTTGGGGAGTTTGAAATCTTGCAACATTTTGCCTTATTTTTCCAATTAATTGAGGCATATTTGCTGTTGCTGTATGATTTCTCTCTGCCACAGTTGTGATTCTTTAAACCACTGGCCAGATTCGGGTGAATTTGATGAAGGTAAGTACCTATGATAGTAGGCAGCCAGTTGACCCACATCTCTGTTAGATTGCTACTGAGACAAACATGACAATGTAAAGATATGTTTTTATCATGGTCTTGCTAGCTAAAAGGGGTGTTAAGCTGAGGGGAAAAACTTAATTTGTAGTTTGTACTTGAACACTGTGAGAAACAAAACTTTCAGAAACTAAGCATTACTTAGTCTGTTTATGAAACTACTTGTAATTGTTTCTGGAAACATTGCTTCCTGAAAAATATTAAATGATCCATGTAATTCTCAGGCATATGTATTTCATTACAAGAGTCAGAGAAATGTCTTTGCACTCTATATACAATGTGAATAACCCATGCAAAAAGGAGTATGAACTACTGTGTAATAGAAATCTTTGAGGCTTTGAATTAATGTCAACAGAGAGTATTCTGATTTCCTGTGCCACTGTCCTCTTCAGCTTCAAAATGCAATTAAGAATCTTATGTAACTGTGGAAAAAAAACTCAAGGGTTTTACCTTTCTCTAATGATTATTTGTAGAGAATAGCTTTTGCATGTGAGTACATCACCAGATGAAAGAACCATTGAAGGAGTGAATTTACTTAATATTATTTAATTAAATTTTTAGTTAAACTGTATGTAATAAATATATTAAGTTGCACTTCCACAGCAGGAAATTAACTCTAGTTAGTGAGCAGCTTCAGTTTCTAAAGTACTGTTGTCATGGATGCAGTTTGGTAAGGGAGACTGAAACCTTTGTCTCTGTCTCTTCTCCCCTTTTCCATCCAGTATTGCTGCCCTGATATGGTAGATAACTTTTTCCCAGAAGTGACCAAAACAGAATGTTCAAGTGTGATAAGCAAGACAGTTGAATCTGAGAAAGGAAAACTGATAATGCTAGTTAATGACTTTTATTATGGGAAACATGAGGGTGACACCGAGCAGGTACAACAGGAGAAGAAGACTCATACGACTTTTAAGTGCTTCAGTTGTCTCAAAGTTCTCAAAAATAACATAAGGTATTTGAACTCACTTCCTTAATTGCTTGTTAATCACAGGCTTTAAAATGTATCTCTGTATATCTATATAACATCTATAATATATATAAAATATGAGAGTGTCCTTGGAATAGATTTTTTTTTTTTACTGAAAATGGATAATATTGGGTGACTGAATAGAAATAATTTTTACTATGGGTGTATGGCTGTAACTTAAACTTTTTTTTTTACAGTCTAGAGTACAAATATTAATGGTATCTGGCATAAACAGCGTTTTAACAAGAGCTGTTGTAGGACATCAAAGTTAGAAAGGGCAACACAAAGTATTTTACTATTTGCCATCTGGATTGATGGTGATATGAGTAGACGCAAGTGTTAATTCCCTTTAGGGATGCACAATAACTAAGTTGCGATTTACTTATGTAACATCTGTTACTTGGATGGAATATTTTTACTTCCAAATGCTGCAAAAAAACTTCAGTAAGCTGTTTTACTAGGTAGATGAGTTTGTGTCGTTGTTCCTTGGGAACTTAAGGTCATTGAACTTTTTTACATGCAAGGGAAGCTGAAGTAGCAGAATGCAAAAGTTAAAAAGGGACTATTGCTTCAAAGGGCACGATCTCCAAGTTAAAATGAACAGGTTTATGCTAACATTAGAAGCATTTTATATCATGTAATTCTGAACATCGAATTTGCTATTCATCATTAAATAGTTGTCAATACTAAGTAAAAGTGACAGTAATTTGCCTTAAGCTGCTTGAAAATGTTGCATGTTTTCAGACTTTTTAAAAGTATACTGCCATGATTTTATAGTTCGTGCTAGCTATGGCATTTCTTCTATTGCAATTTATCTTTTTAAGAGCAATGAACAACATTTTAAATGGGCTGATTTTTTACTTCTGATTTTGTATGCATAATACTTTTCAAATAAGCCTTTCTTGCAGTATTATGAGAAGCAGTCCACAGAAAGAATGCTTTACTGAATTTGGTTCAGGCACTGTTTTCTACTCAGCATTATATTGTAAGCTATCAGTGCTATGGCATTATATTGTAAGCTATTGGTGCTATGGTGCCTATGTATTCCACAGCAAGTCATTCAAAATGAGCACTTTAATTTTTTCTTTTAATTTCTCTAGAGCCAACTTTCAGCCATGTGAATTTTTGCTGTAACTTTGAAGCTGTATGCCATAGTTCTGTAACTTCAGAATTTTTATTCCAAGGTATTTTATACACCTTTAACCATTTATAGTGGACAAAATAAATACATAATACCTCTGTACTTCTAGTGAAAGTTTTCTGAACCTTAATTCAGAAAAGCACAAAGTGATTTACCAGGGTAATCCCGTACTTCCTTTGAAAGATCTATGGTTAAACACACCATTGAGATGTTTTGTTAAGGTAATACAGAGTACTAGTGTCAATTCCTTTCTTCTGCCTAAGTATCTGGATAAATTTGCTTAGCTTTTTGTTTCATTTTGTCTTTTCCTTTTTTAATCAACTGCATGATATTAGAAGCTTGAGCCTGAGACACTGTTCTCCATACTCATTTGTTTTTTAGATTTCCAAGGTCACCACTTTGAGAATGACATTGCTTTTTTGGGCGTGACCTACGTTTGAAGAGTTCCTTTGGCAGTACTGACTTGAAGCACATTCAAAATAGAACAGTTTTTGAAGTTTAACCGTAGTGGGTTGTGCAACTATCCTGTCCTTGTGCTGCTTTACCAGTAACTGTGGCCTGACAATGTCATGGTTACCTATACTTCTCTGCCAGACTAGGTTCCTCCTTCAGATACGTGAACATATTAAAGGGGGAAAAGTGGTAACTTGAAGTAGTAACCTAACACCAAGTTTCACATACTCTTTTGATTCTCAGCTGCACAGTGGCATTCCTTCATAATTCAGCTTCAGTCCTAAATGCTTTATACAGAGAAAGCTTCTGGAACCTTGACAGTTTTGAGTATAGGTGCTATATATTCTTCTTTCTTCATAAGGAGCTATAATATACTATTTGTAGACCTGTTACTTGCTGCTTAATAGGTTTCAGCAGAGCTTAAGTTATACTTGTTTCAGAATGTGGCTTTGAGACTGGTGGTGGTGAAGCATGAACAGCTGACATTTTCTTGTTACTTTTGCCAATTTCCGTTTATTTGAAGGCAAGAATTTTGTCTAAGCAAGTGTGAAAAATGCAGTAGACCACTTAGTCTTAAAATGTGTTTCAGGCATGTTTCATGTTCCTTATAACAGTCGGAATTTCTTTTAAAGCTTTGAAAGATAATTTCGGCATAGTCAGGTTGTTCAACTTTGCCTTTTTATTTATTTATTTTAAGAACATTTATTCCTTAACTTTTTTTCATTGAGAAGTCCTTACAGAGTAAGGTTTCTAAGGAAGCCTGTATATCTTGTACGAGATGTAACATAGATATTGAAAGACAAAATGTGGTTTTTTTTCACCTGTTCACTATCACTTGAAGGTTTATGAACCACATGAAACATCACTTGGAGCTTGAGAAGCAGAGCAGTGAAAGCTGGGAAAGCCACACCACCTGCCAGCACTGTTACCGGCAGTTTCCCACCCCCTTCCAGCTGCAGTGTCACATTGAAAGTACACACACGCCTTACGAGTCATCTAGTAAGTTGGATTGTATCACGTGGAAACTTTCTATGACCTGAAATATTTAGATATTTTTGAACTTTGACTTTTCTGGTTTGTAACTTCAGAATAAAGCTATTGTACTTGAAGAGCAATAATTTTGAGATATAATAGAGGAGGTGAGTGAGCACTCATTCCGTGTATGTTAGACCAGTGTGTGTGTGTTTAATAAAAAAAAAAAAAAAAAAAAAAAAAAAATTTAAAAAGTTTTCGTTGTGTGGTTTTTTGGTTGTTGTGTTTCGTTGGTTTTGTTGCATCCTGAAATGGTACAGGGAATTTCTTCTGAAAAGCAGAATTATCATTAGATGGCTTTACCTTCACAGATTTATAGTTCACATAAACATACTTACTATAATTTATCTGAATTAAGACTTGGAACGAATTTTTACTTTTTTCTTGTTTTTTTTTACTTTTTGTAGCTATTTGTAAAATCTGTGACTTATCCTTCGAAACAGAGCAAGTTCTTCTGCAACATATGAAGGACAATCATAGGCCAGGTGAAATGCCATATGTTTGCCAGGTATCTCTGACTGACTGTTTTTTAGTTCAGATTGCACCAACCCCCTGCCTTTACTGTCAATAAACTTTTAATAAGAAATTCAAACTTCTTGTTTTAGGTATGCAACTACAGATCTTCAGCTTTTTCAGATGTAGAAACACATTTTAGAACAGTGCATGAAAATACAAAACATTTACTATGCCCATTTTGCCTCAAAGTAATTAAAATTGGCGCACTGTATATGCATCATTGCATGAAGCATCAGGTAAGCAGATATTTTCAAAGCTTAATTTTAGAAAAATGCTAAATATGCTTTTTTCCCCCCAGGGATTATACATAACTTTTGTATGGTTGTTACTAGATTAGAATAGTTAATAAATTATGGTAGAAGAATTATGACTGCTTCTTTTGAAAAGTCTTTAAGGGAATTGTTAGATTTTTGTCACATTTGTGTGACAGCAACTTACTGTTAAAAAAAAATATGAATATGCTTGAAAGAATCTCTGATATTTCGTTTCTTCATTAAGTTGTAGTGGTGTGTTCTGTATTTCTGGATGTTACTAGCAAACGTTTCAATAGTTCAGTCAAAGAAAGGTGATGAAGTACTGTGTCTTCTTGTAAACTGGTAACCTGATTCTTCCTCCTTCTAGTAGTGTTAGTGCCTTGCATTTTCAAGTGTTTAAATATTCTCTCTTGAATTCTTGCACAGTATCCTGGTTTTGTACAATATTAGGAGTTTCTGGATGATATTTTAGAAGCTGGATGACCATTGCTTGAGATAAGCTAGGGTTGGATTTCTGCTTATCTTGACATATGTATTCACTAGAGATTTTTTTCCATTTCTAAAAGAAAAAAGGAATATACCGTTGCACTAAATGCAGACTGCAATTTTTGACATGCAAAGAAAAAATGGATCACAAGACTCAGCATCACCGGACATTTAGGAAACCCAAACAGTTAGAAGGATTGCCTCCTGGAACAAGGGTAAGCATTCATACAAGAAAATTTTAGGGGACAAAGGAAAAAATGTTTTGGTAGATAAAGGGATGCAATAGAAAGATTGTTTGATGATTTTTTTGCCAAAGAAAGAGGTTTTTTTGTTGTTGTTGTTGTTGTTTTGGTGGGGTTTTGTTGATTTTTGTGGGTTTTTTACCATCTGAGATTAAACTCTGAAAAATGCTCCTGTTGCAAGATTTGCAAGGCATCATTTCTGGTTCCTTCGTGGTCATCTGTGCTGTTCCTCTCTGTCCCTTTCTTCCACACGTGTGTATGTCAGTAGTACAGTCAGTGCTGCTGATTTTTTGAGCTGTTGGTTAATTTATCTCTTCCCATTTATCTTTGCTTGTGCTAGGGGAAAAGAAGATAGTCTAGGTGTTGGTGTGAGGAGTATGCATCATTTTGTGTGAAAGATTTTCAGTCTGTGGAAGATGGTGGCAGAACATCATACAGAGTACAGGGCCTACTACTCCACAGACAATATGTGCTTAAAACTGAGTTTCACCCAGTCTTCTGTAGCTCCAGCATTTGAAGGGGAAAAAAAACCTTCACCATTTCTAAGTGTTTTTTATGAAGTCAACAGAACAGTTAGAGTATTTAACCATTTTTTTATGCCATTCTTCCATTTCTTAATGAAGAACTACTTAGACAAGGATTTTCTTGTAGATTTCAGGACTTCTTCCTGCAGGTTTTTAGTGAAGTGTGAAGATATATGTCCTTTCAGTTGAAAGGAAGAAGAAAATGAGTGTTTTGATCACCTTTTAAGTTCATTTGTTGTAGAATCAGGAAGGAAAACTGACAGAATTTGATGGTAGATTGTGTTGCTTGCAGAACATAAAGCACTGATTGTCCCTTCTGTTTCAATACTTCAATTTTCTACAGACTTCAGGGTCTTCATGATCTAATAATAGCTTATATTATGTTAAAATGATGGTGTTAGGAGACCTTGATAAGATGTAGATGATGAGGTGGAAGAGTTTGGAACTCGTTTTGTGAGATGAGCTGCATCTGAACTGTAACTGTGGGCAAGAAGTATAATTAGGAGTCATGCTGCAAGTAAAACCCTAGAAATGTAAGGGCAAGACAAGGGAGTGCAATAATGCCAGATGAGAGGTCAGAAACCAGACTTAGTTCTTGGGGGTCTAGGATGAGGAGCAAAAATAATTGAAAGAAGTAGATTGGCTAGTCATGAGGCAAGGAGACACAGGGCTTTTCTTACATCCAGGCACTTACAGGATTGTTGTATTTTCTTAGTTAGGGCTAATTGGCCTGACTCTTTTGTTTCTTTTCCACAGCTTTAAGAAAGCAGGATGTAGGACAGTTGCAGGGTTTGAAAGAGACCAGTGTGTTTTGTCACCGCTGTTCACACCAAAACAAGAACTTTTAAAGCATCCAGTAAACTGTTGAGGTTAGGTTTACTCTAGCCAACAGTATTTCATTTTTCAAACCAGTCTTTGCTGAGGAGTTCTTTATGCCATGTTTTTTGTCCTAAAGTGGCTTTAATTTTGAGACCAATAGAAATAGGAACTTAGAAAGCTTAAATCTAAAGAGGATTTTTTTCTTATTTCATATTTGTAGGTGACTATTCGAGCATCTCTTGGATCTCTTCAATCAGGGTCATCAGCTACATCTTCTGTTAGTACAAGCACTTCCACATTTCAGTTATCGCCTAAACCTAAAAATACAACCACTAAAAATCATAGCAAATCTAATACAAATAAGTCAAAAGCAAAATCAAAACCAACTACATCGAAGAAGCAAAATGCATGGACCAACAGCAAAAAAAAAAAGGTTACAAATACAGCATTGCATAATCTAAGGTAAAATATTAGCATTAAAAATGTGAAGTCTACTTGAAAGATTAAATTATTTGTTATTTATATTCACGTGCCTTTTAATGCTGCTAATAGAGAAGATATGACACTTGAGTTTCGTGGAGAAGGCAAGCACATAGTGGTACTGTGATTATATTTCTGAATCTTCATTCACCAATTTTATTGATGGTAGACTACTTTGTGATGAAAGAACAGATATTCTGGAAACTTTTCTGTTCTAAACTTCGACTTTTTGTCTGCATGGAGCCACAGATGCTTGAAATGCTGACTTTTTAGGTAGATCTATGTTTGAAAGTAATCTGTAGAGGGGAGTAAGTCTGCCTGAGTGTTCTTTGCATATTTTCTTATGGAAGGAAAAGTGTTGTCTTCCTTCAGTTTTTTTAAGGGTTTTGTTTGAACCTGTTATTTACAGGTTAAATCTTGTCTGTTTAAGGAGGTACCTTAGTTTGGGGAGCTACCAAAAAAAAACAATCAAGACACTGAAAGCAAGGTGCTGGGAGGATGGTGTCCTTATGTTTACAATTCACTGGGTTTTCCTATCCTTACATTAATAATTTATGGAGTGTTTGATGGACTAGAATATGTTTTCATGGGTTTAAGATGAGTTAGCAATCTTCTTTGTCAAAGAAGGTAAATGTCTCCCTTCCACTAAGATGCTAACACTGTGTAGCTCTGAAACATCCAAAAATGGCCAGCAGAACTGAGGAAGAGCAGGATTATATTCTTGCTTTGTAGATATTTAGTGTTTGTAGGGGATATCAGGGTGGACAAGAAAACTAAAGGCTTTTTCTGTGCATTGTGTTGGATGAAGCATTTCTTTGAAATCCTTCTCCAGTGCATAGAGACAACAGCAGCTGAAGTTGGATGTTCCCATCTATTGCAATATCTTGTTTCCAGGTGTGGCCAATAATAGATGCTTACGTTTAACTTGGCATTGTTTTTTTAAGGTCATAATGACAGTATAATTCAAGAAAAAAGTAGAGTTCTCTTCATTTGTCCTAACGTAACCGATAATAAGTATTTAACTGATACATTAAGTTCCTCATTTTTTCCCTAATGTAGGTAAGCTTGCTACTGACTTAGAGCAAAAAGTTTGAAATAATTACCTTGTTTTAAAGTGTTGATACTAACTTCTTCATATTACTGTTAGGTGCCGTTTGGGAGCTCACAAATGCATTGAGTGTTACTCAGATATAAAAGATTTTGCAAGCCATTTTCCTGCTTATGTCCACTGTAGCTTATGCAGATACAACACTAGCTGTAGCAAAGCCTATGTGAATCACATGATGAGGTAAGAAGTCTTCAAAGTTTTGATTGCGTTGTCAAATACTTCCTAAATTCATGTAAGGTATGTTTTAAGTGTTGCCATGAGCTGAATTTTTAAGTAGGACATAGGACTGGCAAGGAAATGTCTAAGTTGGGATCTTTACTTTGTAGTGAGGGCCTAAACCACATGTGCTTGTTTTGCCTTAAAAATGCAGTGGTTCAGATAGTGTTCTGTCTTTGCTTCAGAGTTTCTATGGGATCGTCCATAATTATTTCAGCCAGAGTAACAAATATTACCCAACTGCTGCATGTTCTCTGGGTTTTTGGTCGAATACCTCATCTGATTTTTCAAGTGCTGAATGCATACAACCACAGCTATTGCTAATGAAATCTGCTCGGAATGCCATACAGAGGATGTTTCAAATATCATACTCAAGTGGATGTTTTTTCTTATACTACTACTGATGATCCGTAAAAATAACGTTTAATTTTGGAGGAGGTTTGTTGCTGACTGTGAGGCAGTGCAGGGTATTAGTGATGACAGCTGTAAAAAAGCCTGTTAAGGAAACAAATGTGTTACTTCTCAGAGCAATAGAATTATACTATGCAACAATTAGACACAGATCATGTAGCAGTGATGGTAAAACAAAATTTTGAGAACCTACTTGTTAATCCTGTGCCCTGAACAAGGCAAATACATTGTAGAAAAATACAGCATGCAGTTGTCTTTTTAAATATGTGCATAAAATGCCTCTGCATTCTTGAATGCTGGAATTCTTGAATTATAACTGAAGTCTTTAAGTTTTTTATGTGTATTTTATATATTGACCTATTCATATTAATGTCAGTACTCTTGTAAGTCCTAGGCTGAAATAGTTTACGTGCTTTTATGCATACAACCTGTTGATTGCATGCTTTAAGAAGTTAATAAAATTTCATGTACTTAATTATGACTGTACAAGAGAGAGTTTTCTCCAGAAGGGGAGAGGGAAAAGGTAAACTGTTCTAACTGTTGCCCATGCTCTGGATGTTGTCAATTCAACCATGCTGTAAATTAGCCAGTTTCTCGTCCTTTGTCTCCTGGATGCACTAATGCTCCCCCTACTTTGACAACTTGCAGCACCTATTGTCATTTTTTTAATGGCTGTGAGGAGGAAGGCTGTTAAAGTGTTAAGGTGTCTCTGCAGTAGCAGCTCCTGTACTCAGCTGCTTACTTTTTGTTTGCTATGGGAGTAATGTTGGCAGATACTTAACCTGCATATGAGGTAACTTGGTTGTCTGAACATTTGATTTATCTTGTTTAAAGCCTTCTCTTTGTGAAGCATGAGCTCAGCAAAGCTTCACTTCTTTTGTGTGATGTGGTATAGCTACAGCTGTGGTGCTTCAAGAGCTAAACTGCTGATGGAAGCAAAGTAACTGTATTCTTGCAAGACTCTGCCAATTAAGTTAAGCCTTCCCCCTCCCAAACACATTTACAAGAAAGCCAGTGTTTTAAACTAGAGCTTGGATACACTGACCTGTAAGCTTTTGGCAATTTAATGTTTTAGAATAATGCAGGTCAGTAATTGAGCATCCTATTTCCATGGATTGCCACAAGAAAATTGCAGTACCGTATACAATATAGAGGATATGTAATGTCCTCAAGAGAACTAGTCTAAATGGTAATATTTTCTTATATTTAGTTTTCACAGTGCTCGTCCAAGTAAAAGGTTCTGGATCTATAAGAAGCATTCAGAAGAGCTACGGTAAGCAAGGTCTTTTTTTTTGTTATAACTTTCCAATAAATTATTAGTTAAATGAGATTAGAACCTCTTGAATTTCTAGGCCTCCACAATTTAAAAAGAGCAAGAAGATAAAAACATTATATCTTCTACTAACAGTGTTCTATTCAGTGACATATACCTGTGCACATTTCTTAACTTCTTTCTCAGCAGTTTTTAAATTGTTTTCCAATTATTCATAGTGTGCAAAATTGAGAAAGGGTGATTGAAACAAAAAGATCACCTGATCAAAACTCATGCTTTACAGATAAACTTGTCTAATGTAGTGTTCTTTGTCCTGCATCCAGTATGGAAATGCCCTGATCATTGGTGGGGTGCTAGTTGCAATCTAAAAGGGTAGATGTAGACTAGATGTTAGGAAATAAGTATGAGGGTGATGGACAGCTGGCATAGGTTGCCCAGACAGGTGGTGGAGGCCCCATCCCTGGGGACATTCAAGATCAGGCTGGATGAGTAGCTTGATCTAGCTGGAGATGTCCCTGCTTATGGTGGGGGGGTTGGACTAGATGACCTTTGTAGGTCCCTTCCAGCCCAGACAGTATATGATTCTATGTTAAAAAATAAGAATGTTTTGTGGGTCATCTCATCTAAAGTTGCAGGAAACGTTTTTTATAGTCTATCCAGTTGCTGCAAGATCTGTTTTCGCAGTCATGTTGTATTAAATCTCTTTTCACTTTCTCTTCTCTAGAGGTGTGACTGTAGTGTGTCTTAACTGTGATTTCCTGACTGATGTTTCTGGCTTGGATAGCATGGCCACACATTTGAGTGAAAGCCACACTCATACTTGTCAAGTTATTATAGAGAAAGGTAAGTACATATAGTGGGATTTTTAATATAGTGTACATATATACATACGTACATGTGGATGTCTGTGTTATTGCAGTCTGTTTTTCAGTTGCATTATCAGTTGTGTTCTGTGTACTTGGGTTTGAAAGTGGGTACTACTGTATTTCCACTTTTAAAAATATTTTTAACTAAATTTTTTTTTTTTTTTTTCAGTTTCTGTAGATATCCAAACTGCTGAACAAGTATCTGAGTAAGTTTTGTTTTACTGCTCCATGTTTATATTTATTAATTTAGTGGTAGACAAATTTTGCATTTTGAACTTGGGCTTCTTTTGAACTTCATAGAATTTGAAATGTATGGTTGAACATAGGCCTTTACTACTGCTGTTTGCTCTTACCATGTCTACAATAATAAGAGTGGGAAGAAAAAAAAATCATTACCTACTGCAGCCACAATCAAAACCAGGCTTTTGTTCAGTTTGGCCAAAGAGACATTAATAATTCTTGCAGTATTAGAACTTCTTAATCCTGACTTATAAGTCTAGACATAGTGAGACTGTTACTTCAGGTTGCTTTTAATATCAGCTTTGTTAAATGACTGTTTTATGTTTTAAAACAGTGACCTTTGAAGTAGGACAAATTCAGTCTTTAGTAAATATTTATACATTATTTTCAGAATTATGTTATATGACAAAGTTACCCTGTTTTGTAGTAACTTTTTAATTCTGACTTTCAAAGAAAAAAATAATATGAAGGTTTTGACTTTCAGATTTTTTAAGGATTTGAAAAAAAAATTGTAGTATTGTGGAGATAGTGTTGTAGGGTTTGCTTGGGGATTTTTTTAACCTGAGAAGAACCAGTCATGTCAAGCCATCCTTGATTATCCTGAAACAGTACCTGAAGCTTTGTGGTGTAGCTTGTGAGCATGCATATGCCTTAAGGCATTGAAGATTCAGAGGTGTGTCAGCTGGGTTCTCTAAACCATTTTAGAACACAGGAACAAAAATTTGACTGCAAAGAAAGTTATTTTAAAAGATAGAAGGAAATAGTTTAACCCTGATCTAAGAACAAGGTGTCATTGAGTCCATGTAGCCTATAGCAGGATTCTAAAAGGGATTAGCTATTTCTCATGCATGATGAGAACTCTTCCAAATGAGCAAGAAGTTCTTAAACCTCTAAGCATGTCAGCTTTCACTGAGTGTTGGAAATACCCATAATGGGTTATTTTGTAGCTATTATTTTCATTCTCTGTTTCCATACAGTGGCCACTAAGAGAGGGTACTAGAATGATCCGTCATCTCACCGGAACATAGAAATATTGTTCTTTGAGTCATAAGAGAGCAAAATATAGGCTACAAACTTGAAACTTCTGCTAGTAACTTTTTAGTATGTGATACAGTTGAATAAAACTGGTGATCTGATAGGATGATTAATAGCCATTAATAAAAAATTTGAATATATTCTGGCAGGAATGAACAGGGGAAAGAAGTTCATTTGGGAAAGCACTCCAAAAAGCATCATCTAGGAGGGTCAAGCTATATTGCCTTCACTAAGCCAAGGGTGGCTTGTGTCCTTTTGACAGTGTAGACTTCAGTTAAACTCAAACAATGAAAATATAAAGTGTTGAGCTGTGATACCTCTGAAAACCTTAATTTTTCTACTTGCAGCTGGTATTAGGTGTTGAGAATTGATACTTGTTGAACCATACATAAGGAAAGGTTAGATGTATTGAACATTTGGGGAAAAGGTACAGTTGTGGCAGACTGTTGTTGTCAGTACTGCACAGTGACCTTACTCTCTTGAAGGTATTACAGAGAAGTCATGAAAATATTCAGGATGGTGGATATACCGAGTATATATTACTTAGATGAGTTAGCACTGAAAAGATTTGAAGTAGAGTCAGCAATGTGCAGGTTTGTTTCTGCAGGCTCTTAGATCACAGCAGGTGCAGATAGCCATTGTTTTTGAGAGCTCTGCTGTTGTTATAAGATTAGTTACTGGTACTATGTGAGGTGATATAATTTGTGATGTTGCTTTTTTGAAACTATGAGCATGACAAACTTCATTAATTTCAGTAAATCTTGTCCTGTTTCATGTACTAATTCTCTGATGCTTTGGACAAGAATGTCATTGCTAAACCTAGAAGCATGAGTATACCTTATAGCAGATTTTTTAATTCACTATTTGCAGTACAGAGTACATGCAGAAGTGTTCACCGTTTCATGGGATAGTTCTTCATGGTACTCTGTGGCTTGCTTTGGAAGAAGAAGAAATTGCAGATAATATTCGTAGCTCTTTCTGTGTAGTTTCTGAGTGATCTATGAATGTTTCTTTTCATTCTTTGACCTATAATTCAGTGAGGTATGTCTTTTATGGGGCTTTTCAGAGTCACTTGGTTGTCAAGTTACAATCTTAAACACTTTGGGATCTTGTCTTGCATCTCTCAGATGGTATCTTTTATTATATATCAGACTGTCCGTATGTGTTGTAAAACTCATCTTTATAGCTGATGACCAGACATATTCTGTGACCTATGTGGTAGCGGTGATGAGACTTGTCTTTGGACCGGAATCCTGCCATTAGCAATACAGATAAACTACCTGGAGATGTTCCATTAGGAATTGCTTTTTAAAATTTTATTCCACGTAAAGTCACCTTGTTGTAGTGACCTGCTTTGTGCTGAGGGAATAAGGCTTAATAACTGTGCCAGTACTCTTCTAATGCTCAACTCTCTGCTTTGCGCAACAATTAACATATTTGTAAATGAACTGACAGCAGACATTTTTGTTGCAGGGAAGTTGAAAGTGAGCAGGTATCCTATACTGCCTTGGCTCACTGATACATCATTGTGGACCAGAAAATTGAACCCAGTCCAGCTTGGGATTATTTTGGTATGTAAGCGAACAAGGATCTGACCAGACCTTTTCCTTTTTCTTCATGCATTGAAGCTGTCGTGTTCTCTTCCTGCATCTTTTAGGCAGCAGGTCTGGTCTTTTCTCCTAGTGTTGTAGTCTGGCGAAGGCCCTACTATGGTAATGTTCTCTGCTTTGCAGCATTGACTGGCAGCTTTTTGGGGGCTGCACTCCTTTGAAGAGAGGCTTACCAGGAGTTTCACTTATGTGGTGCAGTAGTTTCTTCACTGCTCATTTGCAGTGTTTCTTTGCTGCACAAGTCTTGTCAGCATCACCCTGAGCTAGAGCAGTGTGTAAATGATGACATATATGTATTGACTTGAAAGCCCATTTTGTGCTAAACTCGATCCCAGCTTCTGAACCTAAAGGGCTTTGTCATTCTCTTTAGGTGTTCACTAAAACATACAAGTCCTGACCTATTTAATATTCAAGTAAGTTGCATTTTTGTCTACCAATGGTGTTACAGTATATAGTGGCAAAATACGCTTCGAATGACGTATTTTGTCATTCTGTCACATGCAACTGAATCTTGGCCAAAGGAATTTATTAGCTGCTTTGCTCTGGTAGCTAAGCTTCTTTTTTGCTTCTAAATACTGTAGGAGGAAAACATGTGATGGAAGGAGATGAATTTATTGAGTTTTGATTGTGAGGGTGGAGCATCTACAGTTCATTCACACCTTGTTCTTTTGGTATCATCTCTCATCTTCAGGGATGCTCTACTTAAGCTGCTGAGGCATCTGCTACTTTTGATTTCACTGCTTCTGACTTCATTTTTAATTCTAGATTATCTGTGACAAGTTTATTCATCAACAGGTTGTCTGGATATAGGATGAGTTTTCCATTTGTCATGACAAATATCTGCTTTTCCTCCAAACTCAACCTCCTGCTTACAGTGGATATGCCTTGGTTTAATCTCTCATATAGTAGCTTCCAAACAACCTAATAGATGGAGCTAATCTTACTCAGAGATCAGTCACTGTTATAACCTCCTAGTTAAAATAGATTATTTTTGCTGAATGCAAGCTGTTCTTTGTTTGCAGCTCTTTTCTGTGTAATCAAATTCCCTGAGATTAATCCATTTTTACCAGTATTTTTGTCCTCTTTACTTTTAGTATTCAAACAATAACAATTTTGGTGATAGCAGGCTTCTGCAACCACTGTGGTATTGCTAATAATGGCAAGGATCCTGTCATCCATTGTCTCTTATGCATATTTTGTGACTGAGCATCTGCATGCTTACTCAGCACTCCAAAGTCTCAGGATTTTTTGCTGTTTTTTTTTTTCTTCTAACAGAGCTGTGTTCCATCTTGAATGCTGCTGTTCAACTTCAGGCTTAGATCGTTTATCTACTACAGGTTTTTCTTGCAGGACTTACTTCTGTTTTGACACAGCAGCATTCAAAAAAGCATAGTGGGTTTGTGTTTTCATTGTAAACAAGCTGTTGCATTTCAGAGGAAGCTGAATCTGTGCTATTTCACTTTCATTCAGGTTTCTGGCAACAACAAAACTGCAATATGATTGCTGTTTTTTGTGTCTTTCCAAAACATTCTCTAGGAGTTTCCCAGAAACTCTAGATTGATTGAACTCTAGTCTAGATTGACACTTGGATATGAGGTTATGTGAATTAGACCTCTTTTCAATGCTTATTTGGAATATTATTGTTTGGTTCTTCTACAACTTGGCTACAGAAAATGTTTTAAGTTTCAGATTTGCAGTCTAAATATCTGTAGGTTACATACGCATTTGCCGGCTTTGTGTAAATAGTTTGTGTTGAAACAATTGGCCTCATGGCATCCTATTTCTGTTTGAGCGAGGATCTTGGAAAAGTTACTCTTGTGGAAAACTCAGAACTTAGTAGTGAGCCATGCAAGTAGAACTGCCTGACTCAATCTTAAATATCCCTCATGGTCCAAACAACTACAGAGTTACATGAAAAATGCAACATATTGGACCACACCTGCAAGGACAGAGCATGACTGTATTATCAGTTTAGCTTATGCTCAAAGAAATAAGATTTCAGTTTTATGTACCTGAACGTCTCTTTTTTGTTTGGTTTTTTTTTCCTTATTTATTTATTTATTTTAGAATATTGAGTGTCACTGTGTTGTGCATTCTTAAAAGATGTGTAATTGCAGAGCAACCTTGCTTGATTAACTAATTCTGTATTACCTTTCTTTTGAAAGCCTTTCTGACAAGAAAGTGAATGTTTATTTCTGTTATTATTAAATATTTGTAACTGTGTGGCTTTGTGCATGGGAACACTTGATACTCTTGCTGTCTTCACTACTAACCCCATTTTCCAGGTTAGAAACTGGAGACAGTGTCAACTAACATGAATG